ATGAAAGTGTTGTTGCACTTATTGCTGGCCGTAATGGGTTAAGATCACATTTATTGAAATTTAGATCTTTATTTGCGCTAACGGCAGGTGGGTCTAGTCCAGGTGAAGTGAAGGTAACTCTTGGTAAAACCGCTTTTTTGAATTCTGAGTAAGATTTAATTGCAGGTTTTATTGGCATTGCATTCGTTGGAGGTTGTTTTAAACTTTCTTGCAATAAAGAAACTTCAGGCACAGTTGGTGCAACAACAGATTCGGTCATATCGCTTGGTTTAGGTGCGGCACGCGGTAACATATCATCGCAACCGACTGACGCAAACATTTCTGCACTTAAATATTTTTATTAAAATTTTAATTTTGTCTTGAAATATCAAAATGCTTAAAATCATGAAATAAAGCAACAAAATAATTACAAGTTTAAACCAGAACTGTCATAATACAAAGCAACTTCTGCCATAGATTATGTTTTTCACTAGGTTGTATTTTTATTTTAAGTGTTGTACACAAATTATATAAAGTATAACAGTTTTTCGAATAATGTATTGCCGTTTTCAATGGATAAATCTGTATTCAATCTAGATTTACTCTCTATCTGTCAAATTTTGTTGTTCAATAGAACATTTTTAGTTTTTAATGCAAAAGTCTCTTGTTGTTTTCTCGAAATACTGTTAGATATGATGAAATTTAGGAAAACATCGAATTGTGCTTATGTGTATTACATGATATTACGATGCAAAAAATTGAACTGAATGTGGTTATTATTATCATATGACTAAACATATTATAAAGAAATTAATTAAAATCGATACATTCAATATATACAGCTGGTAACTGATACTATGTAATAAAATGTAGGTATAGATACATAGGAATTTGATTTATTATATTATATTATTGCTGGATTTGTAACTAATTTTGCAAAACTTTTTTTTTATTTTTTATCTGTGGAGCCAATGAGTGTTTTATAGAGAATTATTTTTTTTTTGTAAATGTTTAACAAATTAATAAATACATTAATATGGATATATAAAGAGTCATAATTTTAGGGTAGTTAATCGGAAAAAATATATATTATTGCGTATGTAAATATTTCTAATAACTATTTAAGTCTTTTACAACACTGTTTAATGTTCTATAAATAGTATTAATACAAATGATTTGCATATTTATAATTCTCATGTGTAATTTCTATAAATATTTCTAATAAATATTGCAATGAAACTTGCCATGCTGTGTTGTTTGGAAGGAGAGCAAGTTAGCACTCCCCTAGACAAGGATGGAACACATAAATGGTCGGAACAGGCACAGACAAGTTCCGACCGCCAGTTTTTTTTTTAAATATATTTGATGGATAATTAAATGTAAATCGATTAAACAATGAAATATATTTATCAGTGCGATGTTTTGTTAATAAAACTTTTATTTAAACATTTTAAATAATTAAAATTATTTTAATATTTTAGTTAAGAAAGGAATCAAGACTAAGCTTTATGGGCAACTTAACTAATTAATTAATTATTATTAATAAACAATGCAATGAGTTTAATAAAATATAACATAAACAAACTAAATAAAATTTAAATATAAATTGACTACTCATTAAAATAACAATGAATACAAATGGCAACCAATATGCTTAATAAAATTTGAGATAACATATACGCCCGAAGACACAGCCACGAACAACGACAACCAACCGAGAAAGGTAAATTGCCCAACCTGTGGACGTATATGACGTTGTAAGCCCAACCAACCACCATTATCCGCTAGCCAATATGCCAGATCATCTTCGATTATTTCAGCCATGCCATCAACTAAAAATTGTAAATAATCGTAATGACCCTGCCTTACACAGTCGATGGCAAAACCACCACAAACGGCAAATATCGATATTATTTTGCCCCATGTTACGCTTGAACGAAAGAGATCTTTGGCCACTAAATTTAACAGCATAGGCGCTGTATCACTGTCTTCCAGTTCACCAAATGGTGCACGGGATAATTGCCGCGAGACATTGGTATAAACGCGTGGATGCATACGTTCCAGCTCTTCACCCATCTGTAAGATAATATATTGTTATTATTTTAATAATATATACCATATTTAATATAATTATGTGTATATTATATATAGAAAACGTACACTATTTAAGGCTGGAAACACTTCATATACAATATCTGAGGAAGGCTCCAATATGGAACGTAAACGTTGTGTTGCCTTTCTATTGAGTACTCCAGCCCGTCTAAGACGCGCTCGTATGTATTGCCCGCAAAGACATTTGCCCTGAAAAGAAACATTATTTAAATTATTTAATAACATATTTGTAGTTAAGCTTCATTTATACCTAAGCTATACATAAAACATTCATAGCTATTAAAAAATCTATTTTTTTAGAATAAAAAAATAAATGCAGTTTTATGTTAAATGTACTTTTTTAAGAAGAAAGTGTTTGCATTGCTTATTCATTACATTATATAAAAGCTAAGTCGGTTATAACCACAAATAATTGCGCTTAGCGACTTTTAAAGAAGTACTAATGGGTTTAATGGGTTTTAGAACTGACAACATAAAGAGACTCATTAGGTAATTAATACACTTTTTTATTACTTCATTATTCTTTGCTGTTGAAGAGCTGTTATTAGTTATATGTCTAACACAAATTTTTACTTCTCCTAAATCAATTCAACTTCCGTAGCTTTGTTAAAGAAACACTGGCAACATGAGATGTCCCCCAGCTGATGACAGTCCAATTTATTTATACTTTTTTTATTATGTGCTGAAGTTTTTGAAATAGTTGAAATAGGGGAGGTTTTTGATGGTCTCCCCTTCCGCATTATTACTGCACATTATGCAGTAATCATTGGACGTGAGACCCATCCTTAAGGCATGTCGACCTATGAGACAGTGTCCAATGATGATTTCTGTAAGTATTGAGATAATATCTTTGCTTTGTTGTTTTTTTATTTTTTATATATATTAAAGAGTTTTTGCAGGCTACTACTACTACACTTTATTAAAAATCGTTTGATCATAACATAATAAATATTTAAAAAAATTAATTGTTTTAAAGACCGTGTGCGAGTTCGAGTAAATTGAGGTAAAGTAAATTGAAATTTACTTAGAATTTTTTGCACTGCATCTTTTTAAATATTTACTTGTTTATTTATTGCACTTATTTATTATTTCTGGTTAAAAGTTTTTTATCTAATTTACACTACTCGAAATTCTAGTAAATACCAACATTCGCTGCCATATCGACATTATTTACTATTTCCCTCAATTTATGAAAAGACAGATGAAAGTCTGCATACTGATGGAAATTTGACTCAAAATCGTAAAAATACAACGCAAACTGTGCACATTTTGTAGTTGATAATATTGGAAAATACTGAAGAAATTTTGGTCATACATCTTATTGAACGACGTGTTTTGGATTCAAACAAGAATGCATGATATCAATATTGCAATGCACGGAGTTGGCCACACGCTACAGAAAAGCATAAAGAAATATGTGCAAGAACTTTGATTTATAAGTCAAGAGATACCTTAAGAAAATTGTCCATATGGCGCAGAAACTTGAGAATATAGAGAACATATAACGATATAGCTAAAGTAAAAGAATAAGCGGAGAGAAAATAGAAATGGCACCATCTTATTGACAGCCTATGGCCAATATGGAGGCAATTCAGAGTTTTTGACAGAGAACAAGGCTTTATTATTATTACTACTAATATGTCTGCGGTCGAAGAAACACCTGTACATTTTTATGAATGAAAATTTTGAAATAATTCTTTGAAAGTAAAATTTTCCATATTTTTGAAACATTTGTAAAATATCATTTACACATACTGTGAGTTTTAATTTCCTTATAAAATTAAACGTTTCAGTTTAATTAAATATTATTAGGCAATACGCCAAAAACAATACGGAATGAGTGCCAATTTTAATTTACGAGCGGTAAACATAAAACACATTTCCCAAACAAAAATATATATAGAAAAGGTTTAAGTATTGCATGTTTGAGTGGCGACGTGCCGCCACACAATGTAGGTAGTCACCTTTCAATTGGAAAGATGGAATTGTGTTCATTAACTTGAAATTATTCAATTCATAGCATCGACTAAACCAAAAGCAACATGTGGGATGACATAGCTAGTAAAAAAATAATTTCAATGAATTTTGAGTTAATATTAAAATATTAAGTAATAAACTGGGACTCCCCTGTATATATACAATATCGTCTGTCAGCATAACCTAACCTAACCTAACTTATATATTTATATAACTTTAATATATTTAAAGTTGTTAGATCTATTTTAATACTACATTTTTAATTGTTGCTATAATTGTTTGCTATTAATATTTCATTTGCGACTCAATAAACAATTGATTAATAACTAAATTTAAGATTATTAATAGCAAATCTTTCTAAATAAATTATGTTTAAGTTATATCCCTTCCATGCGTTATAGTTCTTAGGGAGATAAGTTTACTTATACACTCTCTAAAATGATTTTTAATAAAAACGTTTTTCATAAAATCTTTTTAGTTTGTGTTTTAATATTTTCATATTATATATATTATTCATAATATTTGTTATTTTTTTTATTTGTTTTAAAAATGAGAAGTAATTGCATTTATAAATAAATCACTTATACTATTATAAGGAGGGTTCCTCAAGCCAAATTAAAAAATTTAATTAAAATTTAATTAAAAAATAATGAACATTTGTAAGTTATTGTCTTTTTTATATAATATAATTTCTAAATTTTTAATTTTGTATAATTTTTTGATAACGTCGGTCTTGTTTTTATAAAGCTATTAACTACTTTTTTAAGATTTATATTAATATGGTTATTAATATTCATTATTCATAACGTTAATAAGATCTTCTTGTTATTGATCTTATTACCGATGTGTGTGTTCCAACTTGTACTGATGGAACACAATTCTTCTCTTATTCCCCAAAGCTGGACGTTTCTGGGAGATTGCTTCTTTTAGACAGTCTAATTGCTGACAGTGCAGTTCCGAGTTAAGAGTTTTGCAGTAGGAGAGCAGCTCATAATAGATGATTCTCTGCTAAACCCAGCGAATACACAGCAAAATCTTCCTGGCCGTCAATTTCTGGCCGACTGTCTTAAGGTATTCTTATTTAATTATTTAAGTAACTGGAAAGAAATATTATTTCCAGAAAACCTATAAATTTCCCAGAATATAACTTCTAAATTTAACTAAATTGGTACTTTTCTTTTTATTAAAATTGTTACTTTTAAAATATTTCCATTTTTTTTCATAAAAATCTAAAATAGTTCCATTGTTTAACTATAAGCAGCAGGTACACTAAAATCTTTGATTATTTTAACCAATAAGTTTATTTTGCTAAGAAAATATATGTACTCTCTATTGCTCTGTGGATTTACGGTTTACACAAGATATTAAAATAAATTTCAAGTTCTTTTTTTTCGTGTATATTTGTAATTGAAGTGATTGATCGATCAACTTAAAATTTAAATGTAAACATTTTTATATATGAAATTAAGCCCAATACGATTATACATGCGAAAATAATTTGGTGAAAGTGAAAACACTGAAGAAAAACTTTAAGATTTGTTAATATTTTGTATTATATATATTAAGAAAAGTTATGTTAAATAGAGTGCATTGTTAGTATTAATTTAAATAACATTGATTAATTTAGATAAAAAAATAGAAAATGCATGATCTACATCTTCTACATTTTTTTGTTTGCATATAGCCAGGCTACATAGATAGGTAGGTTGAATAGGATCGCACAGAGTGTTGCTTCTCGATCTTTTGGTCATTAGAGACATCAATTCGAGATGTCGTCTCAGGTATAATAGAATATAGTTAGATACGTTGCCTGTATGTATGGTTAGGTTAAAAGGGTTATATCTTTCGGTCATTAGTGACATCAATTCGAGATGTGGTCTCAGGTATAATAGAATATAGTTAGATACGTTGCCTGTATGTATGGTTAGGTTAAAAGGGTTATAACTTTTACACTCTTATATTGTGTACCTTTTGCTTTCAGTTAAAGGATATGTCTTTATATTGATAACTATTTGTTCCAAATTTGTTAAGATGAAGCAAAAAACATAAAAAGTAAATAGATACATATTAAAATAAAAATTCTTAAAGGTTAAATAATTTTGCATTTTACATATGTTCATAAATTACTTATAAATTTTTACAGTGTACCACAATTTCTTTCTACCTTGAGGAATCAATAAGTCTAACTACTTAAGGTCTCTAATAATTTGACACGCCAGTAATTATACATGTTCGTTTATATATGTATATATACATGTTATAAAATAGAGTAAATAATTTTAATTTCTGTGCGACAGAAATCAAAACCTTGAAATCATTAACATTTTAAACAGCTTTTAAGAGTTTAAGAACATTAAATATTATTCACAAATAATTAAGTGAGATAATAATAATTAATATTTTTTATAATGCTATGTACTGCATAATTTAATAAAAATAATTTTTAGTGAGTAAAAAGCGTTTCCACAAATTTTTACTTATATTTTGCTTTTACGTAGGAATTTTTTTGGTTTTTCACACCTTTTCATCATAAGTTCAAAAATTCCTCTTAAGTGATCCGAATTGCGGCTCTTGAAACTAATTGAAGCGATAATGAGTAACTGGAATGGTTCTAAATGGTGGGTGGGAAATAATGTTAAATGTTAGCTATAATATTTCCTTGTATTTAGATATTTTGTAATCAATTTAGAAACGTTTGATGTTTTTTTCGGTTTTTTTTAAGTAATTCATTGAGTGGTTTATTGCCATCAATGATGGGCCGCAAGCTTTCAAGTAATTAAAAATATAAAAAAATGATCAAAATAATTTTTTTTATTTTTATATTACTAAAATATTTACTTTTTAAATATAAATATATTTAATTATATTTAAAAGATTTTTTTATTATTTACTACCTAAGATGATCTACTTAATTGAATTCATATTAATTAGAAAGTAAATCATTTCACTTCACACGCACATGCAGGTAGTGTGCATTAGCTCATTTATGGATTAAAATAAACAAAAGTCAAAGTGATTGTAACAGCACCAAAACGGGGGAAAAAAATAAATAAAAAAGAATGAAATGAAAAGTAAAGATTGCTTTTTAAATGTACTGAAAACATGAAATAAAAATAAGAAAACATTTATGCAAAAAACTTCTGTATGGGCACTAGGTGGATTTGCAATATTATATATTACCCTCGACACACCGAGTTCAATACCCTTTAAAGTTCCTTCTCTAACCGGAGGATATATTAAGAATTCCCATAGAATTTTTATATTATGGAAAGAGACAATGAAATTCTAAGATATTTGACATATACCTATTGTGCCTCATGTGAAATTTTATATACAATAGTTTTTTTCAAAAGTACACTAACTGAAGATGTAGGGTTGAAGTTAGATATTAGTTGGTATTTTTAGGTTACCTGATTTATGATCTCCATTTTATATTCTTGATAGTTGCCTGCCGTTACTGTGCTTGCTAGTGATGAAGTTGATGGTGCACGGGTTAATGAAGTTTGAGCGTGTAGTTTCCATTCTGAAGATTTACGATTTTGTAAAAACCTATCCTGGTCTAATGATGCCGATTTTGTTTTTGGTCGCAATCTGGCTGGCTGCGGTGAAGGCATACGTTCTCACTTCGTTTGAGATCTATACTTAAAAAAATTTATATAAAATTATTTATAATAGCTAATACAACATAATAATATCATTATTTTACAAAATTTTTAATATAACTTACAATTGTTGTATAAAACATTTTTTTAAATGATTGTGAAAAAATAAAAATAATAAAATTTACATATCTATCGTGTAGGATATATGTATAGGTGATTATATGAAAAGATAGGAAGTTGTTACAGTATTTGATTAAACAGAAAAATTGTGATTAGTTATATATGACAGTTAGGTAAAAGAAAAGTTCTCAAAAATGAAAACAAATTATTATTAGAGGCAATAAAGAAATTTGGGGCAAATTGTGTTCATTCCTTTACAAATTTTTGTGTTCTATTATAGCCTGAATTTCATTAATATTAGAATATTCTTGGGCTTCTGTTTTCAGGTGATTTTCTGTTCTATAAAAGTCAGATGAAAGTAATGGAATTAATGTCATGGAAATCGCAGAACGCGAACGAACGCAGTAGTAGTTATACTCATTCGCATGGATAGTATTCATTACTTAAAGTAACAAGTCCGATAACCGATTGACATAGCAACAGTACAAAGCGGTAATATACTATAAATCGAATTGCGTTTTTTGCTACCGCTTTGTATTGTTTATTATATTTTTATTTGTTTGTTGTGGGACGTTGGAACAGCGCACTGTTCAAGAAGTGGCCCCACTGAAGTAAAGGATTACCCGAAGTAGACCACAAAACGACTTGACTCCTTTTTCGTCCTTCGATTCTCGGATGTCGTTATTGAGTTAAAGCTAGAGTGGCTTTTGTTCGCATAACTACATCACTTGTTTATGCAAGCAGCTGATTTAGCTTAAGGTTGCCTGTCAAGTCATCACCAACCCAATAGTGTCCCAAGACAATCACAATATATGCACCGCTGTCTCCTTTTCTTCTAGACATAGTCTGCAAGTGTCTTCCTCAGCAAGAGTTAGCTTTTTGAGGTGATACTTGAAGTTTCCATTTTCCGCGTAATCCATAAGGTCAGCTAGCTTAGAATGTTGTTACGTTACACAGTTATATATCTATATTACATATATATGAATGAGTTCATGAATGAGTTCAGCTTCAAATTCAAATATATTAAAATATCTTTTATTTTTTAGAGTGAAACTTTGATGCCAGTAAGTAATTATATTTTAGTTTAGTCAATGAATTATGTAATAATAATTTTAATAATATTTAAAATGCAAATTCTAGAGATAACCTTAGAATAGTTAAATAACAAAAATTATATCATACTTAGTTAATACTTTGACATTATTCCGCAGCTTTTAGGATTATGATTCCATATAATATTGAAAATAGATTTAACATATTTTTAATTTATAATTTTAAAGTTTTAAGTGTGTTTTAGTTAAAATTTTTAATTGTGGAATTAGTCGGGAATAGAAAGAAGAGGCAAATATTTAACCGACTTACGTTCATACAATTTTGCTCCACAGTATGTTCAGGTGGTTTGATATCTGTTTAATAGACAACAAACCATAAAAACTTTACGTTTCTGGCACGGGCGCGCAATGTTGAGATATTTTTCTGTCTTCTGCTTTTGTTTTTCGCTTCTTACACGTAACCTAAGCTTAGCAGCACTTGAGGCATGGAGTTCAAAACTTATTACTTTCCTAAAAATTTTAGCAAACAAACAAATGTTATTTTAATCAAAATAATTGCCAGCAACAGTAGTTATTACCTTTGTTGACTTAGTTGATCTTGTTAAATTAAAGTATGCATATAAGATCTTTTTTTTACTAATAATTTTTTACTAATATATTTTTCTGCTTTACGAATGTGTGCTTTGACACTCAGTCTTAGATGTCAGCCAAGACTACATTGATAATAAATCGTACGAAGTATTAAATTAAAATCAAAAATCAACAAATTCTAAAATTTCTGACTACAGAATTTGTTTAGTTGCGGAGCAGAACACGTACAGAACAAATCACACAATAAATATTTAGACTAAACGATTTGATCTTTCAACCGATATGCAAACTATACTGAGACTGAGTCTAAAAAGTCTAGTTGAAACAGTAAAACACAAAAAAGAAAATAAAAAAAAATAATACAACAAAAATATTAAAACAAAACAAATATAAATTGAGCGAAAAAGCTTAAAAGTTACCTACTCTTTATTTTGAGAAAAGTGCTTTCGAGTTTTAAGTTTATATTATTTATACATGATCATTGTGCAGTGAATACGTGTGTATGAGCGAGCTAGCTATATTCTACAGTAACTTTAGTCAAAAATTATAAATTATTGTTTTTGCATATACTAACCACAACAAATCTTAACTTCACCATGGAAGTTCAAAACACTTAACTTTGTGTGCTTTTCAACACACTTAACTTTGACGTTTAGGTGTTAAGCTTTAAACGTTTTATTTGATTTAAGCGTTTGACATAATTCTACTTAACTCTACTAACATAAAATTCAATTATTCTTAAAATTCTTAAATAAAATAAAATTATTTTCAACTAAGGTATCAAAAATATGATAATAAACCTTATTAGTAAAAATAATAAAAATAATCCGAAGCTACAGCCAATAACAAGTGTGGTCCATTCCAAAGAGTTCAGACTATTGTTGTTTGGATGAACATGTGTATTGATGCCATTCTGCAATTAAATAGAAATAGTTAAATAAATGTTATTGACTAATTTTATACCTATAAATAAGTTAATTTTTATGAAGTACAGTACTTGCTCGAAAACGTGAAAAAAAAATCCAATATTTTTGCTATTATTAAAACACAAAAACATAGAATGCATTCACTTTTTGTAGATCTAAGTAAATTATTTTTATTAGAAAGGTTCACAGCCAAGAAATTAAAGAATTATTAGAAGGAACCTTTGGTAACGCTACCTGTGAGAATTTTATTACGATTTTTGGAGAAAGTTTTTTAAAGTAACACCAACACAAGTTAAGGTTATTGATAAACTTAATAATATCTGTTAATTCGACAATCTAAAGATTCTGGATCGGTTTCATAACATTTGCAGGACTCCAGAAGATTCAGAGATTGAAATATTCTACAGATGTCAATGTCTTTTAGTGTACACTTAAGAACTCAATTATACGAGTTCTGTTGTAAATTTTTCAACAAATCTTATATTATTGTTAACACAATAAGATTATAATCCTTCTTTTTGATAATAACATGAAGTAGTTTAAAAAAGTTTAGATTTAGACCTAAAAACCTTGCAGTATATTAATTGTAATTCGAATAAGCTATTTCGTTTACCTTAGGCTATTGGCATAGGCCTACGACAGACCAAACCATTTATATTCTATATTACTAAGTACTGACGCTTCTATTCAATTTCAATGAATGTATATGAAGCTGGGATATATGTGAAATGTATATGACAATTAATATACTTTAAATGAACCAATTTTAGTTTGAAATTTTCTGAAAACATACCCAACCGCCATTTTCATTTATCCAAGGCACTAACTCATCTTCAATTACATCGGATACACTTTGCATTAATTTATTTAAATATTCTGAATGACCTTGCCGTACGCAGTCTACCGAAAGTCCGCCCGCTATAGCAAATAAAGAAATAATTTTACTCCAGGTAATATCAGTACGAAAGAGATCTCTTGCCACAGTGCTCAAAACTAAAGTTAAGGTATCAACCGAAAATTCACCAGTTGGTGTTCGACAAATTTGGCGAGCTACGCCGGTATAAACGCGTGGATGCATGCGTTCCAATTCATCGCCAAGCTAATTAGTGAAAAATATAAATACATAATTATTATAAGAGGGGGAAATATAAATTTAAAATTGATTTCAAATGCTTACCACCATTACAGCTGGAAATACATCTCGTACTATATTCATTGAAGAAGTACCCAATATGCTACGTATTCTTTGCAGTCCCAGCTTTTTGTTAAATAATCCAGAACGTCTAAGACGTCTTTTTATATATTGTCCACAAATGCAACGACCCTTTTTATGTAAGACAAGGGAATTATAGTGTTAAAATGCATAGCAATGAGTAATAAATTTTTTTTCTGTTAAAATTGTTTACCTGGTTTATAATGTCCTGAGCGGGTATTTGTGCTGCCTTCCAACCTATGGTATAAGATAATTTTCGCGTTACAACATCACTTACATTGCTCAACCTTCTGCGCGCTGAGTTTTGGTTGACCTCGAGCAGTGATGTGGAATGTATGGTTGCTGGAAAACTAAATTTACGCCGATTTTGTGATTGAAGAAACCTTTCGACTGGCGCTGGAAAACCATTGCTGAAATTGTCATTATTTGGAGGAAATGAACCGGGCATTATTTTATCTTGTGCTAACAATTGGTCAAAACTGAATCTGAAAGTAAGTAATATTAATAGAGTTTATTAAATATTTTTTTAGTCTATGATATATACACAATATTACTGAAGGCAAGTTTCGAGGATGAATATATAATATAAGATGAACAATCATTTTTAATGATCATTAAATGCTTCTTATTATTTTTATATTACAATAATTTTAGGGCTTATTACACATCAATTAAAGTTGTACTTTTATACAGAAGCATGTTGTACCAAGATACTCTGAATTCTTTAAATTATTAAGAAACTATTTATGTTATGTCTATTACTCCTTAATTTTCCTTAGCTTTATTTTAAGATAGGCTGGCATCTATTATTGTTGATTGTAATCTACTATTGCTGACTGTCATCTACAAACATAATTATGTGTGGCGATATTTTATTCATGAACAATTTACATTTTTCATTGGCAGAAAACATTACCAAGATTTAAAGATTTGAATTATGATAATAATGCAGAAAAAAGGAAATGCTTCAGATTTACAATAATGACAGCTATAGTCATTTAGTAGATACGCGAAGCATTTAAATGGAACTACATATTTCTCAACAAGTTTTTGTGTCGCATTTTTAGAATCTGTAATGAATTAACCCATGATTATGTCAGTACTGAAGTTAATAAGTAAAGCAAAGGTTTTTGGTGCAACGTGGAACAGTGTTCAACTACGACTTTATTGAAATTTTACGATAGGTATATTAAATACGTTAAAATAGGTATAATGCTGTCAAGAAGATGTCTATATATATTATTGATCAGTACGACAAGACGAACTGATTAGTGATACTTAGCAGTCTCTTTACTAAGGTTAAGTTACATGGAACATTATAAAACTTTGCTTATGGACTTTTTGTGTAAGTTGATTGATTCTGTAGTTCAGATTTCATGATTGGATAATAGGTTGTACCACTTTCTGTTCAAGACGCGTATAGGCCTCGTTGTGTAACCGCACACCCGAATATGAGAATCTAAATTTGAAATGCAACTAATGCGATTGATGAACTAGATTAAGTTTAAAAGCTCTATTTTTGTGACTTTTGCCAGTCTCAGTAATTTGTAGACTTCTTTTGTGAAATATATTAATATTTTCAGGTCTGGACATTCGCATAGGAAGAGTTAAGTTGCTTTTTTTCCTTCTTAACGTCCTTTTCTATTTAAAGCGGACACCTAATTTATTACCGTGGATGCCTATTTTTCAATCCTAGTTGCGTTTCTAGTTTTAGCTTGTCCATGTGGATATTTTGCAACCACATATGTTTTTGGATAAGGTTTTACAGTGTCCAGAATTTTTCAAGTCATTACCTGCCAAGATGGCTTAACACCACGGTCTTCAAAAACACACGCGTTAATACAATGTGTCAATCAACACCCCTAGAAATTCAGAAGGATTTTGCCGATTTCAATGAAGTTAAGTATTCAGGACATAACTTTTTCCTTGGTAAGGAGCGAGCCCCATCTAAAACCTCTGCTGATCTTTGGGTCACAGCATCAGGTGATGAATACGCAACTCTACGCTGAATGATGGTTAATGAATACCAATTATTGTTTCCGCGTAAGTTTGGGTATTAACAACAGCCATCACGATACTGTCAACCTCAGTTAGTCAGGTATCAAATTTACACCTCCGGGCGAGTGTCACAAGTGGGGACACTCACTTACTACCTCCCTGATAGTGTCACTTTTTACGACAGGCATATCTTATCTCGGAAACACTGTAACCTCTTACCCGCAGGGGGAATATGTTTTTACAACGAAATTAATATGTGATCTTTAATAAAAGATGGTATAAGTCCTTGTCTGAATATTTCATCCGAAATATTATATTCTTTTATTCCGCGGTGCATAAAAATCAAAATCTATGATATTGTACACTGATAGATCTCATATAAAATAAATGCTTAAATGGATTAGACTTTACAATTAAATTTTATAACTTATTTTTTTTAGAAATAATTGTTTATAATATAGCGATGTACTATTAGTGTAAAGGAATTGAAGGCAGAAGTTAGCTTATTAATATGGCCTATATGGGCCTTGAGAGATATTTGATTCTTCTCGTGTAACCCATATCTGGGAAGCATAATAGCTACATGGTGTTCGCCCTCTACCGTTAGAGGGTTGAATCGAGATGTTGTAACTCGATGTTGGAGGTAAGTCTAAAAAAAACCATTTGAAACTGAAACAAAACTAATTCATAATATAATACTTATTTGTAGTAATTAACTTTCATAAGTTTTTAATTAATACTGTGAGTAATAATCAATGAATATTATCTACATATGTTTTTATATTTCTGATGATGGTATCGTAAATACTGACTATAGGGGTGTTTTATATTATCATAAGATGATCCAAAAGGCTTATTGAAAAATTGATAGTAATCTGTGTTCCTACAATTAAACAACAAAAATACATTATTTTACAAAATTATGCAATTCCTTCAGACCTTTTATGGGAAGCAATTTATAGTAAATTGATTGGCGCATATATTAACATCCACATCCACATATATACTTACGAATAGATACACAGAGATATGTTCATATAAGCACCTGCAGTTTCTGCTTCTCTTGTTCGAGACTTCAAAGTAAAAGAGCTGTCATTACTTGTCAGCATATGTACCAGACGTCATTCAGAAATGATTTATGCGTCCAGTTAAGGCCATAAAAAAGACAGAAGAATTTGGATGCATTGTAGTTGTAAAAAGTTGAAATTACATTTTACAAGTGCTCATTACATGTGGTACAAGATGCAATTTATTAATGAAGCAGAAATTAATGACCAATAACTTATGAAATGTTCATGTACTTTTCCAATTAGATAAACGCAAGAGCTAAGCAATTTATGAGTAATAATTTTACTAAAGAACTAAAGTGGAAGGGGTTCAACAATTTAGTATATTGGGATTAACATATAATGGTGGAAATTGAGGTCTCTATGCATTAAACGGTTAAAAAGAGAGGGATCTAAAAGATAGATGAGTGAGTCAATTGAGAAATTTGGATTAATGGAGTTAATAATAGCTAGAACCCTTACTCTTTCCTCTAAGTACACCTGATTTGAACATGGCAATCTATTTCGCTTTTATTTTGAAACTATTTTATTTAAATGATTACATCGCTTTAGCAGATCTGAAGAATTGTTGAAGAGCTTTTAATCTTGAGTCAGTGACGTATTGAGAGGAACAATGTCAATCTTTGACTTAGTCAGTGGAACTTGTTAAAGGTATGAATAGAAAGATCTTCGTATTTTTTTGAAACAGGACGTAAACCAAGAAGTCACACAAAGAAGTCCACTAAATTATGTGTGTTAACTTCAACGAAATAATTTCCTTCCTAGTTTCTATTTTATTTTGTGTATGTTGATTATCTAAAAATTGTAAAAAAATTGAATATTTGTGGCACCATAATGTCAGCAACAACAGCAAACAACGGACAGAGAGCAGTAAGATTTAACCAAATAGCGGACCAAAATGGACTATATTACAGATTTACTTTATAATAAGTATAAGTAGCTTTATGATCTATTAGATATGAAACGATAATATTGATCGCATTTCAACTACTTTTATATGTTTATATTGCTTTGTAATAATTTATGTATAGGGATTATAACTCCTGTCAAATGATGCTTTCTTAAGGTACAGCAAATGAAATATGGATCATTAATAATAACTTTCTATAAGGTATAAAGGTTCTCTAAACTTCACGAAGAACTATGCCACTCCATAAAATTAAATTGAGGTTCTTTATAATTTAGAAATTGTAGAGTATACTTATGCAAAAACATAATATTCTTCCTAGTTTTTTGCATTGAATGAAGCTCAATATAATTATTTTTATTGTGACCTTAATTAAGAAATAAAAATCAATACTAAAGACACCAAAATATTTCGGACTTAGCAGTTAAAATAATATTGTCAACTGAACCTGTCCCAATATTTTGATCCAGTTTTGAAAAATCGTGGTGAAGGAAAGTTGAGTTTACTGCGATTGACACAAAATGACATAAAAACCGTGTTTTAAAACTTTTAACGCTAGTGAGTTTTTTTTAAATTTGAATGAAAGTAAATTTTAACGATTTTAGCATAGAATTGGAAACATTTTTCCAACACACGACTTTTTTTTTAAATGTCAACATGATCACGCTTCAATACATATAGGTTCAAAGCGTAAAAGGTTTATAAAAACGAAAATTTCATAAGTTTTCGACAGTGTTATTTCAACCATGAAGCCGAAACATGTAGTGTCTTTTTTATTATTGTTACTCATTGCTTTAATAGTCGAAGAATCGAAATCTGATGTATCACATTTTTTTGCGCCTGAATTAAGTTTTTTCCATGGGCATCCAGGACATACGTTTCCATTTCAAATAGCATTTCAGCCGACAGTGCAACAAGATCAAGGATTATATGCAGCGCCACCACCTGTACAAGCAGGTTATCCAGTGTCCACACATTCACCAGTAGCACCCACAACAACAACAACCACAGAATTTACACTACCAGAAATAGTAGAAAATCGTAACGCTAAAGAACACAATTTTATACCAATTAGAAATCAATATCTACCACCCGAGCTTGAACGTCCAAACTATGAGAGTCCAAAACCACCACCTACCAAGTACATAAAATAACATCTAAGAAGTTTAAAAAAAATAATAAATACATTTTTTTTTGAAGTCAACAGGGTTATCAATATGCAAGGCCGACAACTACTACTACAACGACTGAGCGTCCAAGTCCAATAATTGTATTAGACCCGCCGGAGTTAATACCACCGCTCAATATGGAGGAGATTATAGTGCAACCACCTATACAAGTAGGACCTGGTTACGATTACAATGCTCCTACACCAGTAAACATCGCTCTACCGCCTTCAACTCCAGCTCCTGCTTATCTACCACCACGGGATGTAATTACTTTTGAGACACCGGTGGGTGCAGAAAACAGTCAGATACCTTTACGTGTTCAAGTTAAAGAAATG